TCATAATACGCTCAATGGCTAGCCAGTGATCACTGCCAGGCTTGCTAGTAAACCTGTTAAGTATTCCAACTGCATATGCAATGTCAGGTCTAGTACAGTCAGTCGCATAACGCAAGCTACCAATCATACTAGCATATTCTTTTTGATTAATTACATCCTCATCATTTTCAATAGGAAATAAATGCACATGAGGATCAAAAGGAGTAAGAACATGCTTGCAGTTATAAAAATTATATTTTCTCAAAATTTTCTCAACATAATGCGACTGATCAAGAAATATACCATCACAAGTTTTGGTAATTTTCATTCCCAAAATATAATTAGCCTCACCAAGATCTTTTATATCAAAATGGCTACCAAACATATTTTTAGTTTCCACGATGATATGCAAATTAGAGCCAAATATAAGTAAATCATCCACATAGAGGCTAATAATGACATGTGAATTCTCTTCAGATTTATAGTAAATACATTTATCACATTCATTCGTTTTATAGCCATTCTCAATCATGCAGGAATCAAATTTCTCATGCCACTGTTTAGGGGCCTGTTTTAAGCCATAGAGGGATTTAATTAGCTTGCACACTTTGCTTTCTTGACCGGGTTCCACAAAACCCTCAGGTTGATCCATATAGATTTCTTCACCCGGGTCTCCATTTAAAAAAGTTGTTTTAACATCCATTTAATGAATTTTTAGATCATGAATTGCAGCTACTGCAATTAATAATCTAATGGGTGTAGCTCTAGTAACAGGAGAAAATGTATCAAAAAAGTCAAGATCTGCTTGTTGTTTAAAACCTTTTGCAACAAGCATTGCTTTATATTTATCAATAGTTCTATCCGGTTTAAGTTTTTTTCTCAAAACCCATTTACAGCAAATAGTTTTACAACCTGCTGGTAAATCTATTAATACCCAAGTTTTATTGGATAATAATGATTTCATCTCATCATTTACAGCTTCGTTCCAAAAAACAGAGTCAGGAGATGCTAAAGCTTCTTGTAAAGTTAATGGAGTTTCCTCCACATTAAAAACATGATAATCAGGGCCAAAATCTTTTTCTACTCTGGCTCTTTTACTCCTTCTAGGTTCAAAAACTATAGGATCTTGGTTTTGTAAAAAAGAAGTAGAGAAACCGGTTTCAGATAAAATATTTTCTTGATAATTTTGACCCCCACCATTTTTAGATTTAAAAGGAAATTTTTCTTCATGAAAAATTGCATCACCTGATTAAAAAATTGTTTTGTTTTCAATATCAAAAAATCTATAGGCTGTACTATTTGTTGCATATCCAAGAAAAGCACAAGTGGCAGCTTTCACACCTAATTTAGGTCTTTTAGGATCCACAAGTCTAACAAAAGCTAGACAACCCCAAACCCTCAAATATCTCAAATTTGGCTTATGCCCTTTCCACAACTCAAAAAGTGTAACTTTTATTTTTTTATGTGGTGCTCTATTCATAACATAATATGTAGTTAAAATTGCTTCTCCCCACAAATTTGAAGGAGCACCTGCTTCAATTAGCATAGCATTTGTTAAATCAGTTAAAGTTCTATTTTTCCTTTCTGTTACACCATTCGATGCAGGTGAATATGGTGGAGTAGTTTCATGGATTATTCCCAAAGATTGAGCAAACAAGTTGAATCCAAAAGATTCATACTCCCGGCCTCTATCACTCCTATACATTTTAATCTTTTTACCGAATTGATTTTCAACTTCAAGAAGGAATTCTTTAAGTTTTTCAAAAACATCACTTTTATTTTTCAACAAGTATACATAAGTGTATTTTGAAAAATCATCAATAAAAGTGATAAAATATCTATTTTCACCACGTGTTAAAATTCCTTCAAATTCACATAAATCAGTGTGAATTAATTCTAATAATTCAGAATTTCTCACCACACTTTTATGAGGCCTTTTAGTTATTTTTGCTTGACTGCAGATTTCACGTTTCTCAAACTTGTTTGTTAGTCTGGGAATTAATCATAAACTACTCATGACTCCCACATATCGGCTATTAATATGACATAGACGAGCATGCCAAAAATTCATAGAAGACAGCATGTAAATAGAAACATGTGCTTTCTTATTCTCAACATTTAATTTAAACATTCCATCACAGGCATACCCTTTCCCCACAAATATGCATTTTTTAGTGATTACATATTGGTCAGATTCAATAGTCTGTTTGAAACCAGCTTTGTTGAGCAAATAACTAGACATCAAATTTTTTCTCATGGACGGTGTGTACAACACATCTTTTAAAACAAGCACACGTCCAGAGGTAAAATTCAGCTCAACATCCCCATACCCGAGCACCTTGGTTAAACTGGAGTCACCATGCATAACAGTCCTCTCCTCATTAAAAGGAGTGAAATCTTTGAACCAATCTTTATCATAGCAGACATGCCTATTGGCACCAGAGTCTGCCCACCACCCTTCCACAGATTGAACCATAAAAATATTTGTGATCATAGCCACAAATGGTTCCTCGGTAACATTAGCCTGTGGTCGAGATTGTTGTTTCCGAAATTTGCAAGTTCGAGCAATATGCCCACTTTTGCCACACACAAAACATGTCACGTTTGTCAAATCTTGTGAAGGGGGTTCTTGGTTCCATTTCTTTTGCATCGGGTAATTTTTATTTTGTGGCCTTCCAGTATTTTTCCAAATTTTCTTAACTGGCTTCAAGTGACTATTTTTATGAAATCGACCTTTAGGTAAAGTATTTCCAGAAGTTAAATTTACCTTAGCAGTGGAATGCTCTTGTGTCATAAGCGAATTTTGTCCTCGTGCTTCCTCCTCCACCCGAATCCGTGTGATTAGAGTCTCCAAGGATGTCTCTTTTTGCTTGTGACGCATCGACTTCTGGAACTCCCTCCAAGATGATGGAAGTTTGTCAACAATACCTGCTACAACAAGATTGTCTCCAATTTTGATGCCTTCAGATCTAACTTCAGCTACTGACATCTGAAAATCTTGAACTTGCTTCACCACTGATTTTCCATCTATCATTTGATAGCGGAAAAAACGGCTTGCAGCATATTTTTTAGCGCCTGCCTCTTCAGTGTCATATTTATTCTGCAAGGCTTTCCAAATTTTCTTGGCAGTGGTGTAAGTAGTATCATAATAATCATAAAATTGATCTGAAAGACAATTCAAAAGATAGTATCGACATTTATACTCATCTGTGTTATATTTCTCGATGTTTTCAAGATGAGCAGCATACTCATCGTCTGTCATCTCTTCAGTGGGGACTTTGTTCGGATTTTTCTCGGTCAGGATATAAGCCACCTTGAGGAGACTGAGGTAGAAAAGCACCTTGCCTTTCCATCTCTTGAAATGAGCTCCCTTGAACCGGAAGGGCTTGTTGAGATCGCCGGTATTCTCGTTGGGCTTCTCCAGTATTGGCTCCATGAACTTTTGTTATTTGAATCTCCTTAAAATTGTTGGTGATAATTACAAATAACACACTAGAAAATACAAGTAATAAAAGTTACAGTGACTACTATAAGGGCTGAGGCGCGGGAAATTCGCTCTCTTTAAAGAGATTCAAGCTCTCTGCGGTTAGGCAAAGCCTCACACCAGTGCAGCAGAAAAAAAAACCTTGACTTGTCCCCCGAGGATACAACAGCCCGACTAAGTCGTATGGTTAACCAATACTGCACGATTGGTTGAACCCAAAGCTTTATCACACACACCCTTTTTATTTACCTGATAATCTCACATTAGACATAACAAAAGCAACCCAAAACTTCTTCTCTCTTATGTGTCTCTAAAGATAGGACATAAGTTAATATATATATATATATAGAAATCAAAATTAGTTAGACAAGTTCTTGGTGGGGAAGAAACGGATGAAGACAAGGAAAGGATAAGTCTTGGTGGACTTGACCAAGACTTGGATAAGATAAGATTGGTGGACAAGTTATGGAGACTAAGACCAAGACCTTGGATGACTTGGAAGGCTTAACAAGGAAGAAAAGAAAAGAAAACCAACCTATAACACATTATAATATTAAAATACCTGCTAACACCTTTCATTGCCATTTATACAATATCCTAGAAGAGAAACCAAATGTCTATGTCTAACTTTTGTTAAGACTGCAATTTCTAGTTGAAATTCATTCACTCCTTTGGTACCCATTGCCCCAGATTCCATCCTCTTCACAGCAATCTTAATCCCATCATGCAATTCCCCTTTGTAAACAACTCCAAAGCCTACTTTCGCTCCGCTCCACCCCACTCCACTCTACTCTGATGCATTCTGCTGCAATGACTGTATACTCTCTCTCTCTAACCTTCTCTCTCTATATTCTCTGCAATTTGATGGAGCACTGAAGGAAGGGCATCACCTTGCCGCTGCCATCGCCTCGTCGTGCTATCGTCTTCGTGTCATCATCTTCCCTCTTTGTCTCTCTGGTTTGAGAGTTGAGTGAAAAGAAGAGGGGAGGAACGTAAAAATGCAAAAAAAAAAAAAAAGAAGGTCCAAAACGTCGTCGTTTTGGCCCACGACAGGGATCACTGCAGGGAACAATGACAGAGGATCCAGATTCGTGTGTTACGTTGGATTTGATTTACAAAAGTGCATTGAGCATCATCTTTTAAAAGAGAAAACCAAGGATTTTGGCATAACATTGCATGAACATGATCATAATTACATCAAATATTTAAATACATCGTTAAATATATTTCTACTAGGTAATCTTGTTCATTCCTATCATTAACAAACATTTCAGGTCATGAGGATGTGATTTCACCCCATTGACGAGCTGGTGGAGATGTTTTGATGGAGCATAGATGCTCTTTTTGATATGCTAGCTGTGATGTAGCTATCGAGCTAACTTGTCCGGCCATTAAGACATTTCTGTTATATTCTCTAGCTTCTAGAACAATGTAATCTCGTTTATTTTTGGAAAATTGAAGTGATGTAATATAAACATATAAACTTTTTGAAAAGTTCATTGAGAAAGAGGATATTTTGCTTATGAGATTGTTGCAATTTAATGAACTATCTTCTGATAGCACATCTAATATCATGGAATTGGACTAATAATAACGTATTGATAATTCGTAAATTAGATTAACAATACAGGGGCCTTATAAGAAGAAAACCCAAATTTGAAAGTTGAAAGAAATTAAAATTTCACCGTGTCAAGTGCTACCAACCCTTTTTGAAAACATTCATAGTTAAAACGAGCATAGTTTTTGACATTCTTGTACAATCTTGGTCTTTTGTCATCCACCAAATCATCAACTGGTCCGATCTCTTTCTCTGGCTCTGGCTCATTAAAAATAGCAACAGATATCTTCTCCCTTTCAGAATTTGTAACGACCCTATGCATTGGGCTCTTGAATATTCCATTACTCATTATCTACATACATACATTTCGAAGATCAGTTGTGTGAATTCACACCCATGTGAGAAGTTTGGTAAAAAATTTGATAAATTATTTGGGGTCTCAAGCATAGCCCATTGTATTAATCAGTATGGATTCTTATTTATCTTCCAAATTAGTCATGAAATTGTGGATTAATTGGTAAAACTCTAGGGTGGCTGCCAACCGAGCTGAGAAGTATCTCATCACAAACTTGACTCTGAACTGATACTAATCAAATTCATCCAACAAACTAATATATTATTTTTAATAAATATTATAAAATAAAAAATTAATAAATTTGTAGTCTTGTTAACATAAACATTTTATAATTAGTCATTACTCCCTAAGTTCAAGTTTGGTGGCTTGTTTTTCTTTCCAAATCCTTTTTTTATTTTATTATTGAAACAAAAATAAAACTAACTAATGGGTAAATTACATTGATGTCTCCTTAAGTTTAAACAAAATACAACAAGTTCTACAATTTTAACATAATTACACTAGCCACCTTTTAGTAAAGTTAAAGAGACTGAATAAATGTTGACAAGAGAGAATTATGTATCTTATTTATCCAGCTAGATAACCAATCTTACACTAATCTCATGGATCCTTTCACTATTAATCATGTTAATCAACAGGCTCCGAACACTTTAAAAAATGCGATGGATAGGGTTAGCTTGGGCACGCTAGGTGGGCTACAAGGCCCATGTCCACCCCATATAAAATAGTTGACAAAGGAGTTTCTAGAGTTCCAGGGTTAAAATTGTATATTTGGACAAGAAATGTCATACATAATCTTATTTCTTACATCATTTTATTTCTTTTAGTCAAAAAAGAATGGGATACACATGTATAAAATACATATGCGACCCACTCACTCACTTATGTCTTGGAGTGAGATTAGGAAGTAAGAAATATATGATTATATGTAGAGTTTTTGTTTATGGACAGACAAGCACAAACTTGCATTAAATTTACTAGTATGACCGTAAATGCCAAGTTGGAAACAAGACATCGTCTTATGGTGGCAATGACTCATGCTAAATTTTGAACAGATTCCATGATTTATGATTTAGTGCAAATTATATATATATGAAAGAAACAGGAAAGTAAAGTACCTGCATTTGATCACCGAGGTTGAGGAAAAGGGCATGAGGAATTATGGGGACCGTGAGCCACTTATCATCTTTGAAAACTTGAAGGCCTTTTACTTGTTTGTCTTGCAGTAAAATAGTGACTCCTGATCTATCTGAATGAGCTTTGAGTCCAAACACTTGGTTTGGTTTCGAACATGGTGGGTAGAGGATAAGCCTTCCTTGCATAATTGCTTCTTCTCCAAATTGTTTGGAGAAGCTATTCTCTTCTAACTTCAGTGACTTTGCCATGGCCTTGAATATAATACCCATTATAGACTTTATGTTCATTGCATATTCATCTATTGTCTCTCTACATATATAAAAGTAAAAACATAGCTCACTGATCAATACATGAGACCAAAAAGTATCATCATCAAATTAACACAATTTATTAAGGTTGTCATTTGGATTTGGCTCTATATTTGGATCCTGAGGTGATTACTGAAAATAAATGCCTGTAGTTTCTGACTTAGGTGAGAAAGAAAATAAATGGTTGTGATTTTTGACCATTTTATTTGGATGAATGTGTAATTTTTATTTGTTTACATTCATTGTATTAAGAGGGGTAATTATAAAATTTTTATAAACGGTACGTTTGCTTTTGTCACCAAATCTCACCACTTTTAGTAAGAAAGAAAAAAATAGAGATTTAAATGATTTCTCTCTTTCTCACAAATTTCTTATTATTTCTTACAATTTCTCATATCATTAATTATTCAAACAAGTTATGAGAGATCTCTTTTTCTCTATTACTTTTCTTTTCCTACTAAACCCCAAATTTCAAATTGGCCGTTAACATTCAAGGAGAGATTTGTAGAAAGGAAAAGGAAAGAGAAATGTGACAAAAAAATTAATTTCTACTTCATTCACTTTTCTTTCCCTTTTTTTTATTTAATTTCTCTCTGCAAATCTATCATCAAATTCCAAATTAGGACACAATCTAAGAAGCCATTTATATGTTCAACTAGTGTCACAGAAAGTGGCTAAACTATGCATTAGTTTTCCATTGAATTGTTAAGGTTTGTGCCCTATTTGTGCAAGGGTTGCTTCATATTACCAATGAATAGGGTTTTAAATGGTAGTATTGGGAGATAAATTGGTATTAGTTACAATTGAGCATTATTGGGTGTATTGAGCCATACGCATGCAATTGAGAGTTTTTCAAAATAGTCAGCCACAAAAGAAAATTTTAAAACAGCCAGATTAGCCATATTGACTATGAATTGGCTATGAACCAATATGAATCAAGAATCAGCCAATACACTAACGATTTTCTTCCTACTAGCATGCCTAGATGCATCAACATTGGTAGACTAAAAACTAATACATATCGGCAATATATTTAAATCGTTTTCCAAGGAATTATAAAGCATTGCAAAAGACAGAAGTACCTAAAAGATTGGGGTTGTTTAGGCCAGAGCCTGAGTTTTCTTTGATCTTCTGGGTATATCCTGAGAGAGAGACGATCACTCCAGTCAAGAACTTGGTTCTCTGAGACCACTGAGTCACTTCCATAGCCTTCAATTTCACCAGCTGCTCTACTGTACTTTCTCTTTTCTTCCATTGGCATCGCGAAGAACTCTTCTGTGACTCCACGAACCTTGTTAAGGAATTCTATTGACATTCCATGACCTATTACCTATGACTCAAAACCAGCTTCCAATTATGCCAAGTAGTAGTATACATTAAGAAAGGCCCATATGAGAAAAACTACAACAAAACAAACATTTATGTGGTTTGACTATAAGTTTATAACTTGGACTAATTGGGGAGACTAATCCTATCATCATCCATTAGCCGGGGTTCCAATTAAAGTTGGGGCAAAACTCTATATAAATTAGCTCCAAAAAATTGTTTGTACTTGGAGATTTCGAACCTGATATCATAGAAGGAAGTACACCTCCATGCCCCAAACCTTGATCACCAGACTAACCCATGGAGTTGTTAATGAAGAAGTTATAATGAGTTAGTTTTCTCTCTGCACATTCATTATAGTCTTAAGATTTCAAAGTAATGTATACAAGTATTCAAAAGTAGTGTAGTCTATTAGGTCAGAATAGATTGAAATAAAAATATTGAGTTAGACCTATCGGTAGGAGACTACGCCCTAGGACCCCATGGCAAAGGTCAGGAAACATTGCCTATTGCCCATTTGTGAGGTTGTGTGGATCGTTAATGAGTAATAAGCATAATCCTAACTGAATTTATGTCACACTCATAATAAAATTTCTCAATCACAAGTCAATGAAGTATTAATTTCTCTCTGCACAACTATTATAATCTTGGAATTTCCAAGTAACCAAATGTATACAAGTATTCAAAATGAACTCAAATACAAATATCAGTTGGACCTATGATAGCAGACTACGCCCTAGGAGCCCATGGCTAAGGCTAAGAAACATTGCCTATTACCAAGCCGTGTGGATTGAACGCATAATCCTGATTGAATTCGTGACACACTCAATAGAACTTCTCAATCACAAGTCAACAAAGTAACACTATATTCCTTGAGGTCAGCCAGCTCATAGGCCTAGGGTCGATCCCCTTCCCATCTCCCCCTCACCAAGAACCGCCAAGAAAATTAAAATAATCAAAGAAGTTGTAGAAATCAAAACCTGAAAGCAACCCCATGAGCTGAGAGCTGATCTGAGCTTTTCCAATTCAGTTTCTTCTTGTAGTGATGAATGCAGTGAAGATGGTGAGGTCAAGAAGAGACTGATGTCAATGACAGGAATTGGAGCCAAAGGTGGAGAAGTATCTATAGGACCAAATAGAGTGTTGTCTCTAACAATGTAATGCTGGGGTGGTTCATCACCATCTTTGGACATCTCTTGGACAGTCTTGGACACTGATAACATCTTCTTTTCAGAATTAAGTCAAAGTTAGCGGTGGGGATGATGATAGTTGAGAATTTGTTTGATGTGTATTAATTATGAATTGTGTGTTTTCGTTGGGGTATGGGTTGGTGGGTGGTCATTACAGGCCTTGATGGGAGCAAATTTGGATGGTTTCTCACGTGGAATCTGAAAAGAACCTGCTCTTCAATAATGTTTGAACTCTAATTTAAGTGTTCTAATATAATTTTAAGGGAGAAGTTAGGGTCGTGAAATTTTTTTCATGAAAATAATTATCAAATATTTATAATTCTTGAATTATCTTGATTAGTGTGTGTATCAAGGATTCTCTAGAGTGTTTTTTTTCTAAAGTTTTCTAAAGTGGTGTATTGTGTGGTTGAGGTTTAATGCTGAAAAATTGATGTGACTTGTCATTAAATCTCAGCCACACAATGCACCACTCTAGGAAACTTTAGAAAAAAAAAATTCTAGAGGATCCTTGCTCGTGTGTGTGATGTTTTATTCTAAGTGTAATCCAAGGGTCACAAAGTTTTCATGATTATTTTCATGAAAAATTTTTCATGATACTTAACATTGCTGTAATTTTAATAATGGAGAAAGTTTTATATAAAAATGAGATCCACACTCCTCTCTTTATCTCTCTTTACTTTCTCTGTCTTTCACCTTACTACAACTTCATTTAGAACTCTCAAATTAAAATTATGTATCGCTATTATGCTCCCTTACTAGTGGGCGCCATCTATGTGAAAAAACCAAAAAAAACAGAGAAGAAAGAAAAAGAAAAAAGAAAGTAATGAGCAAATGGATAGACGTTTATCTATGTTAACTTTTTCCTTGATTCACTCTGCTTTTGAATTATTATAATTGAGAATTATATAATTGAAGCACTATATATTAAGCTCGAGACTAACATCTTTTAGAATAAATTGCATTCATTATTTTTTAAGTTCAAAAAAATAAAAATAAATTTACAAATTAGACATAATTATATTGATTTATTTTTTAATTTTATTAATACAAATATAATTAACGCAAGTGATACATAAATATAGAGATGATTAAAGCAAAATATATTTTTTAATATAAAAAATGATAATATCATTTATTTGTCCATATAAGACGATGACAACCGATAGAAAAGGACTATATTTTATTTAAATTAAAACTTTAGAGAAGCATAATAATTATGTCAAATTTATTGGACATGATGTATTTGCTTTTCAAATCTTATGAGAGCTAGTATGGTTTACTTTTTTTTTACAAGAAACTTCTCCATGGCATGGCATTTTTTGGTTTTTTATTTTTATTTTTATTTTTATTTTTTATATAATCACATTCATTGGGTAAGACAGAATATTGGCAATAGAAATCAAACACGCGATTGTTAAGTTTAATGATCGGCGGGGCGGAACTGTTAAGGGATTGAGAGTAGCCCCGGCCCCCTGAAATATGGAAATTTCTACTTATACCCTTTTATAATTTTGTGTATTCACAATATAGCTAGTATATTACTCCTAAATTTTAAGTAAATTTAGTTTGATACCTTCAGAATTCTAATAATCTTTTTGTTGTCCCTTAAAATCTACTCTTGATTTTTTTACTTATCACAATATTTTCCAACTATTCCTTATAGTTAGACCAATAATTCATACACAAAAATGTCAATAAAAAATAATATGTAATCTAGATTTAGTTATTGTATAGTGGGATTTACACATAAAATGAATTTGAATAACACATTATTTTCTTAATATTTTTCTCTCTTGTTGGCAATATTGTAGTCACATATTTTATTAATATCAATTGTAATTAACAATTTCTTTTAAAAAAAAAAAAATCAACAAAATTATAATATTTCTTAAGAGCACATGAATATCTTACACCATCATATAATTAACACCATCAATATTATAAGTTTCAAATCTATGGGGGAAAAAAATCAAGACAAAAAATATTAAATAATAAGCAATGTGACAAACTCTATACATCAATTAGGCTTTTGAAATTGTATTGTTATAAAAGAATTATATTGAAAGAATTTGAAAAAGACATATTCTGGCCCTTGGTTGAAAATCCTGATTCCACCCTTGATGATCAATGTCAAAAACAATCTTACCTGTGGGAGTCGAATTTATGTAGCCCAACACCATCGGGCCCAAATTGTGAATCGGCCTATTGGGCCTCATCCATCGAACATATTTGGCTAAATTATATCTCTTAATCCTAAAATGGAGAAGTCGAGTAATTTATTACAAGTCGGTATCGTGGCTAGTTGTCGATTCCTCGCCATAAAGCATTGAGATCTAGATGAGGTGCGTAGTAGAGAATAAAACCTAAGAAGGAAAGGTCTATAAAAGAAGGAGAAAGACCCAATGATCAGGTATGTTCTAAAAAGTTCACTAAAGGGAAAGACCATTCCCAGATACCAAAAAAAAAAGAAGAGAAAACTAACTAGATCGTCGGAGTGGTAATTCCGGCATCCTCCACCGGAGCTGTTATTATTTCAGGTGCCTATAGAAGGACTAGTCCAAGATATGCTTGGATAAAGGAGTATTTCCAAACCCATAATTTCACAATTGGCGCCGTCTGTGGGAATACTGAAACTCATCCATGACAGACCTTGCGTAAGATCTTTCGTTTGTAGGCGATAATGATACACCAGGAACAGTGCATCTCGCACGAGGAGCCTTGAACTTCAACTTGCTGACTCTCTTACCTTCGTCCTCAGTAGAGAATGCCATGCAAACCCTGATCAACCAAGCAAAACGAAATGAACAACGAATGGAGGATATGGTAGCTAATAACGAATGCCTACGCCAGGAATTGTCCAAATCCCAACATGCACCGCAGCACGCAAAGGGTCAATCACCAAAGAAGAAGGCAATGCAGCAACGCCGCCCTTGAAGGAACAAGGATAATAGTGACTCAGGGACATTAGGAGAGGAACCTAGAAAGCGATTCTGACCAAATACCTTAGATTTGTCAGCCGAGAGCCCGCGAGTGCAGCACAAGCATAAGAACGGGATACTCATGACCCATTCATGCGACGCATTGCCAAGGCCATGTTGCCTAAAAAGTTCAAAGCTCCATCATTTACACTATATGATAGGAAGTCAGATCCTACGAATCATGTTCGACATTACAGGCAAGCTATGACATTGCATGCAGACGATGAATTGATTATGTGCAGAATATTCCCCAGTAGTTTGGGACTACTGGCCGTCAGATGGTATTACAAGCTTGAACTTGGATCGGCTAGGAGTTTTCATCAACTCTAGAAATCCTTCAGGGCCAGATTCATCACTAATGAAATGCAACCAAAGCAAGCAAATTCTCTTTGGGCAATGAAGATAAAGCAAGTAGAGGTCTTGTGCGAACATTTGGCTCGTTATTGGGAATGCTTCAACCTCGTAGACGATGACTGCAACGATGTTATGGCCGTTATGACCTTCAAAATGGGACTGCACATTGACAGCCCGCTTCGAAGCTCACTAACTCGGAGGCCTCCTAAAATGGTCTGGTTCCTGATGAGAAAAGACGATGAATACTGTAAAGTGGATGATGATGCCATCAAGGTTAAAACTAGCCTGCAAGTCGAAGAAACGACAGTGCCTGTCATGGCATAACCCTTAAACTCTGTTCCACCGGAGAGAACTCCACCGAGGAAAAGCCCGAATACAAGGAGCCGACCTAGAAGGGAGAACCATCGGAATTCGCGACAGAGTGAGTAGTATCAGTTGGAAAACAAGCGTCCTAGATGGCCGGATAAACCATACACTGATTTTAGCGAGCCAATAAGTAAAATTCTGAACAAGATACAGCATCAGCCTTTTTTCAGATGACTGAGTAAAATGCTTGGGCCGCTCAACAAAAGGCGCAGAGATCAGAGATGCGAATACCATAAAGATCATGGACATATGACTGATAACTGTTATGCTCTTAAAGATCATCTGGAGGAGTTGGTCGTAGGAGGAAAATTGGCTGAGTACCTCTTGAAGAGGGAAAAAACACCAGGGGTGCTTACCGTGCATCTCGATTTGCCACCCACTAGTGTGATCCATGTGATATACACCACACCCCCATTTGACAGTGTGTACTCGGTTCATGTACAATCTTCCAATCTTAACTTGGCGTGTGGCAAGATGATCAAGCGACCTCGTATATCAAATGAAATCAGTTTCTTGGATGATGATCTTTAGGGAATCACCACACCACATGATGATGCCCTCGTGATCGAGTTGCGAGTTAATAAGTTTACTATCGAGTGTATCCTGATCGACCAAGGGAGTACTTCAAAGATCATGTATTACAAGACATTTCTCGAACTCGACTTCAAGGATGCAGACCTACAACTAGCCAAGTATCCTCTCTTCAGCTTCAACGCCAATCCAGAATATCCCCTCGGCAAAATCGTGCTACTTGTGCGTGCGGGCACCAAAACACTGGATGTTGAGTTCTTGGTCGTTAAACTCCTCTCGCCTTATAATTTAATCATGGGCTGAACTTGGCTTCATGCAATGCAAGCTGTGCCGATCACTTATCATTAGTTGCTCTACTTCCCAACATAATACGGAATTAAGTAGGTTCGCGGCTTGTAGCAATCTACAAAAGAATGTTATTTATCGGCCCTAATCAAAAAGCCCAAGGAGATGGAAGTGAATTCAATTGTAGCCTCGAATCAGGAAAGCCTAGAAGACGATAGAAAAGTCCCAGCCGACAAGGTTATAGAGGATCTGCAACGGATAATGATTAATGAGGATCTGAATAAGTTCTTTGTACTCAGCATAAGCCTGAACAATAAGAGCTGTTATCATTCCTTATCGGTTATATTGATGTTTTTGCTTGGATGCCCTATGATATGCCAGGCATCGACTCAATATTTGCAATATACAGTCTAAATATAGACTCGGCAATTAAGCCGGTTACCCAGAAGAGTCGCCGCTCAGGTGTGGAGCATGCCACGGCAATAATCGAAGAAGTTGACAGGTTATTAGAAGCTGGGACTATTCGGGAAGTTACTTATCCCACATAGCTGTCCAACACTGTCGTAGTGAAAAAGAAAACAGGCTCATGGCATGTCTGCATGGATTTTACACACTTGAACAAGGCTCATCCAAAAGATTGTTTCCCATTGCCGAGAATTGACCAACTCGTGGATGCAACCGCAG